GGGTGGGGTTGCTGAGGAGCTTGGCGGTGACAAGAACTTGGGGGAGGCTGGAAGGGGTGGGGTCGGTGGACGAGGCTGGTTGTAGGGAGAGTGGTCGGTGGGCGGGGCTGGGTGGAGGGGAAAGGGGGAACCCTGGGTTGGGAGGGCCCGAGGTTGGGTTGGGGACAGGAGGGGGCTGGAAAGGCGGGAGAAACTATTTGCTCCAAGATCTCATCTTTCCATTCACTCCATTCAACCATGGTTTTGAGGCCTGGATTATTATGAAAAAGAGGGAAAAGGCAAGGCGGCTAACATTAACCTTTCTTCCTTGTGCGAACCAGTGTTCCCAGATGTGTGGAACTCCCTGGAGCTGGAGCTCTTCACCACCATCTCTACTTTCTTCCTTCTGAGGAATCCTGAAACCTCTGTCATGGAAAAGTACCACGTGTTGGAGATGATTGGAGAAGGCTCTTTTGGGAGGGTGTACAAGGGTCGGAGAAAATACAGTGCTCAGGTGGTGAACAAAGAGGCATATCTCTTGGTTGGGATTCCACATCCCCAACTCCAGTGTAAAATGGGGCCAGGAGGGAAGCGTTTATACCAACCTGTATTCCTAAGGCTCTGACTCCTTCATACTCCTTATGGAGAGTGAGCTCTGAAATTGGACAACTCTGGTTCAAATCCTAGCTCTACCGCTTTCTAGTCTTAGAACTATGGACAAGTAACTTAACCTCTGTCTCAGTTTCCTCATCTATAGAGTGAAGATAAGTATAGTATCTGATTGATGAGGTTTGAAGATTAAGTATAATGTCACACTGAATCACTTAGGACAGTGCCTGGCACCTAGTAAACAACAAATAAATATTATTACTTCTGTTAATCTTTATCATCCCATGCAGGAAGAAATAAACCACCTGAACTCTATTCTTCTCTCTTCATTTTTTTTCTTCCTTCCATTTCTCCCCAATCCCTTAAATCTTGAATTCTTTACCTAGATCAGAACACTTCTTCCAGAATCCGCCAAAGAGATCTGTCTGGCAGAGACTGTTTCCTCCTTGGTCAAGGGGTGGGGGGAGCCTGGGTTAAGCCATGGCACCATGGGGAGAGTGGGGTGGGAGACTAGCAGGTATAATGAAAATTGCTCAATCTAAAGTCTCACTTCTGCCCGGCTGGGCATGGCTCAGCAGTTGAGCATCGACCTAGGATCCAGGTGATCGGGGTTCAATTCCTGGTCAGGGCACATGCCCAGGTTGTGGGCTCGATCAGCGACTCTCTCATCATTGATGTTTCTATCTCTCTCTCCCTCTCCTTTCCTCTCTCTGAAATCAATAAAGGTATATATTTTTAAAAAATAAATAAAAATTTAAAAAGTAAAGTCTCACTTCTGGAGTTCTGAGGTTAAAGTTTCAGTAGTGTGTTTAGGCCTTGACTCTGCATTTTATCCCTGACAGGTGGTGGCCCTGAAGTTCATTCCAAAATTGGGACGCTCAGAGAAGGAGCTGAGGAATCTGCAGCGAGAGATTGAAATCATGCGGGGTCTGCGGCATCCCAACATTGTGCATTTGCTCGACAGCTTTGAGACTGATAAAGAGGTGCATTGTGCCTTGGGGTCACCTCTCCCCAAGAAGAAGGGTCTCAGGAATTTCCCTACCTCAGTGCATAAATCTGGAGCCATCAGTGTCTTTGCCTTTGCTTTTCAGGTGGTGGTAGTGACAGACTATGCTGAAGGAGAGCTTTTTCAGATCCTAGAAGATGATGGAAAACTTCCTGAAGACCAGGTATGTTTCCAGGCTCAAACTTCTCCCCACCCCTGACTCTCTTCAGGTTAAGGACTGGTAGGGAAAGCTGAGGGCACTGAGAGTCTGCATTTTGAAAATTCCTGAGAAAAATATAAGTGTCTAGGTATATATAGAGGCAGTGTGGTATGACAGTAGAGTATATCAACCCTGAAGCCAAATCTTTGAATAGAAAGGTTGGCTCTGCCACTTTCTAGCTGGATCCTCAGGAGCAAGTTATTTGAACCTCTTTGTGCTCAGTTTCCTCTTTTTATTTTATTTATTTATTTATTTGATTTTAGAGAAAGAAGAAAGGAGGGGAGAGAGAGAGAGAGAGAACCGTTGATGTGAGAGAGAAACATTGATTGGTTGCATCCCGTACACACCCTGACCAGGGATCAAACCCGCAACCTGAGTATGTGCCCTGACTGGTAATTGAACCCTTGACTTTTCGGTGTATGGGATGACGTTCCAAGCAACTCAGCCATATTGACCAGGGCTCAGTTTCTTCTTATTAAAATGGAAATAATAATGCCTATCTCATAAAGCTACTATGAGGCTTAATGAGTTAATTCATGTAAAATGCTTAAAGAGTTCCTGAAACACAATGTTCAACGTAGATAGCTATTATTAATGTTGTTGTTACTGGGCACCATTAAGGAAGAAGGGTCAGTGTGGTGGTACCAGAGAAGGCAGGAAGGTATAAGAATTGTGGTTAAGGTAAGATTCACCACCAAGACATAGTGGTTAACAGTGGGATCAGGTTGAACACATTTTCCAGACACACTTATTCCAGGGGTTTTTCTGTATTCCAGCAAGTAGGCCCTCCTCAGGGCTTCCTGTTGCAGCATTCAGTTTTCTTATGAGCACTCTTCATCATTGATAAGTCATCATCTTATTCCTTTTGTCCGTCTTGTTTCTTTGACTACTTCTCTTGAAAAAGGGATTTTGTCTTAATAACAACTAATGTACATTGAATGCCTATTAAATTCCAGGCACAATTCTGAGTGTTACATTATTTTAGCTCATTTAATCCTCAAAATCCTATGATTGTCATCTTACAGATGATAAATCTGAGAGGCTCAAGATAATTTGCCCATGGTCATGCAGCTAGTGAGACTCCATAAGTATTCTTTGAATGAATGAATGAACGAATGAATGAATAGGGGAGCAGGAATTGGAGAAGGTATCATGTAAAGCTCTGAAAGAAAGGGAAGGAAGAGAAGATTACATCAGCTATAGTATTAGGGAGAAGCCTTTGGGCTCCTCAGCAGGCTCCTTCCTCTGACCTCTCCTTTTTTCTTCCCACCTGACTGACCCCTAGGTTCAGGCCATTGCTGCCCAGTTGGTGTCGGCTCTGTATTATCTGCATTCGCACCGCATCCTCCACCGAGACATGAAGCCTCAGAACATCCTCCTTGCCAAAGGTGGTGGCATCAAGCTCTGTGATTTTGGGTGAGAAGCCTGACCTTCCGTCTGTGCTTCCAGTTCTGCAGGGAGTCTAAGACCATTTGCTTGGCTTACATGGGCCTTGTTTTATAATTTGAGCTGGAGACTGGGACTCCTATTGGGTCTTTTGAAAGGTGCTCTCTCTGTTTGGGTTTGGGATACCACACAATCAGAGAGAGTAGTGATCAGCTCTAGTTTTATTGATCATCTCTCTTTACGTTTCCATTCCATCACCTGCAGATTTGCCCGGGCTATGAGCACCAACACAATGGTGCTGACATCGATCAAAGGCACACCACTCTATATGTCCCCGGAACTGGTGGAAGAGCGACCATATGACCACACCGCAGACCTCTGGTCTGTGGGCTGCATACTGTATGAGCTGGCTGTAGGCACCCCTCCCTTCTATACCACGAGCATCTTTCAGCTGGTCAACCTCATTCTCAAGGACCCTGTGCGCTGGCCCCCAGCCATTAGTCCTTGCTTCAAGGTAGTGAACATAGAAAGGGAGATTTTGCATTAGAAACCTGTCTCCCTCTGCCTCTGTTCCCTTTTTCAAAATCCTTTTCCAGAGCTGGATAGGACTTTGTAGTTACTGAATTAATGCAGGATCCGGGCCAAGCTGCCTTGCTAATGCAGGGACTTATTCTGGGAGGGTGTGCCAAACTTGGGAATAGCAGCCTCTCCTTGGGCCAGGCTGTCTTTTATCACAGTGGAAAGGTGATTTCAAGACACCAGAGTTGGATACTGGTACTTTTACATACCCTCTATTCCACTTATTTTCTATCAGATGATATCTAGCTTTAGAAACACAGCTTTCAGTTCTCTTCCTGAAAGAAAGAGTCTTCAGCTATCCAAATGGCCAGAGCTAGTGGGGCTAGCTTGGTGGTTAGGGGAAGATGAAACAGGTGGTGCCTACTCCTTGCAGTAAGTCTCAGCAGGCTGGAGGGAGGAGAGAGAGAGGAGGGAGGGAAGGAGGAAAAAGAGTGGACTCTTCTTTTTCTTATCTAGGCAAGATTTGGACTTTCAGTGGAATTTAAATGCATCTTTCTCCCAGATGAAATCTCATTATAACTGTCCTTTGCTTTATCTAAGATGAAAAGGGACAGGTTTCTCCCCAACTTGTATAGTTTGGAGAGGCCCAAGTAATTATCAAAAAGAATCTAAACAAAGGAAACTTAAGCAAATGGTATATGTAGGATATTTATTCTCCCTTAGGGCAGATATGCAGTTATCTTCAGCTAGAGCCATGGCATACTAATCACTTTGTTTCAGAACAATGGTCATAATCTAGTACTTTCTATCCCTGTTTCAGGCCCAGTTGAGTATTTCCGTAAGGATACCTCATAGTGATGTCCCCTTTTTAGAGACAGTCTCCCTACCCCTCCACCATCTGAAGACTTGCTGAAAGATTTCTGGTTTTGAGTGCTCCCAAACACATCTTTAGACAATGACTTGTGTGTGTGAGCATGCTTTCAGCTGTAAATGCATCTGTTTCTACCCAGCTGTACACAGACTGCAGTCAAAGGAAAGGCAAAGCGAGCAGTTTGGGACTCCTTTGAATGTGTGCTTTCTGAAGGTGATTGTGAAAGTGACATCCCTGCCTTTCTCCTAGTTCTTTCTCAATTCTTCACAAAGCTGGTGACATTGAGATTTCTGTTTTTACTTCTGAGATTCCAGAATGTCCATGGACAGGGATTGGAGTTCCCTAGGAAATGAGGCCTAAGGATAGGGTTAGAGAAGGTATGATTAAGACCAGCTGGTCTGCTGAAAGATTAGACTCTGGAGTCTTGGTTTGCAGGGTCTGCTGATTAGTTAGAGCCTATATGGAAGTAAAAGCTGATGGGGGATTTTTTTTCTCCACAGAACTTCCTGCAGGGACTGCTCACCAAGGACCCCCAGCAGCGTTTGTCCTGGCCAGACCTTTTACATCACCCCTTTATTGCTGGCCGTGTCACCAGTGAGTCATTAGGGTTCCTAGGGCTTTTGCACTTCCCTAGTGTTATCCTCAATTTACCCACCTTCCCCCAACATCTGGATCCAAAATACCTTCTTAACACTGCTATCTTGAACTTTCTTCCTAGCCTATTGCCTAACTTTTGCCATCTCCCTTACAACTTCCTTTTCTCTGTCACTTTATCAAAATGATCTCCTTCCACAGAAGCCTGTAGACACGGGAGTTGTCTCTGGCTAAGTGGACATGGCGCAGCTCCAGTACGATCATGTCTTCTTCCTCTCCCCTCCCTGCAGTAATAACTGAACCAGCAAGCCCAGACTTGGGCACCCCATTCACCAGTCGTCTACCCCCGGAACTTCAGGTCCTAAAGGACCAACAGGCACATCGGCTGGCCCCCAAGGGCAACAGATCTCGCATCTTGCATCAAGCCTGTAAGCTCATGGCTGAGGAGGCCAAGCAGAAGGTTTGTGGGAATAAATGGGGAATGTAGGACATGGCCAGCCTAGTGACTGGGGTTGTTGGAGAAGGAGAGTGACTTCTAGGGTTGGGAAAGGGTCACAGGTAGGATTTGTACTGCCCTGTGGCACACAAATAGGTCTAATTCATTGTCTCCTGCTCACTCCCCACAGAAACACCAGAACACAGGACCTGCCCTTGAACAAGAAGACAGGACCATCACGATGGTTTCTGGTGTTACCCCACTGCCTAGACTAAGGGCCACTCCTCAGGAACCAGGCCTCTTGGCTGGGATCATGGCCTCAGAAATGAAGAGCGGCTGGGCTGAGTGGGAGGCTGGAGAGGCCTCCCCTGCACCTTGGTGAGGGAGGGTATAGCCAGGATTTATAGGGTGAGGTATCTTGCAGATCTTTGGCTCCAGCCAAAGCAAATACAGCATGGTTCCTGTCACTATCCACTGCCTAAATATGGACAGGCCCCTAGGAGTCTGAGTCCTGGGTTCTCGAATTCTAATTCCAGATACTTTTCTGATTCGTCAGGAAACATGGGAACTTTCTTTTCTCTATGCCTCAGTTGTACATTAACTGAAAGGGAAAGAATTGTCTCAGTATAAAAGGAAGATTATTTGAGTTGGGCGCTACAGGTGAGAACTGCCAAGGTATACTTGAGAGTAAGATCCAAAGTGGGAGGGCAGTCAGGGATGTGCGTGGTTAGTGATCAGCATATCCTGTCCTGGCCATATCCTGGAGGTCTCCTCTATTCAGTCCTACATGGCTTTTTCTTCATTCTGATCCTAGGCTTAGAGGGAGGGACAAGTTAATGAACCCCCAGCCTCAGAGGTCTGTAATTCATTCTACTTCTGCTTCCTCTGGCAGGGAAAACTGGATCACCGAGGATAGTGAACGAGCATTCCAAGAGCTGACGCTAGAGGCGGTGGGCCAGCAGAGCACTGATGCAGTAGATCTAGAAAACGAGGTGAGCCTAGGGCTTTTCTTGGCCTTGTCACTGAAATGGGCTGTTGGGTCTGGGTAGATACTTTTCTAGAACAGTGTTTCCCAACCCTCCAAGTATAAGCTCCCCACGTGTTAAAACTGCTTTCTTATAATTAATTTATAGGTTTTAATTGCACAGTTACCTGAACATGTAATTACCAAAAATTGGAATACACAGGTAAAATTCTAAGTTCCTCTTGAGCATTACCTAAGCCCCAGAGGTGCTGTTACCGGTTTCGTCTGTCTCCTTCCAGACTCTCTGTACTTTAACGTGTATGTATATACACATAGAAATGTATAGTTTGGCTGTTTTTACATTACTGAGTTCATCCTGTACGTATTGCTTTGCATCATGCCTATCTTACCGCATGATCTGTTTTAGAGATCATTCTACATCTGAACATGTAGTTCTACTCAATCTTTTGTGGGTTTTTTGGATTTTAACTTTTTATTTTGAAATAATTTCAAACTTAACAAATATTGTGAGAATACCACAAAGAATTTCTACATACTCTTTTTTTTCTTTTTTTTTTAAATTCTAACCTGAGGATATGTTTGTTTTTTTACTGATTTCAAAGAGAGGAAGGGAGAGGGAGAGAGAGAGAAACATCAATGATGAAAGAGAATCACTGATCGGCTGCATGCCCCCTGCTGGGGATCGAGCCTGTTGTAACTGGGGCATGTGCCCTGACCAGGAATTGAGCTTCGTTCTCTGAGCCACGCTGGCTGGGCTGAGAATATGTTTTTATTGGTTTGACAAAGAGAGAGAGAGAAAGAAACATCGATGTGAGAGAGAAGCATCCATTGGTTGCCTCCCATATGTCCCCTGACTGGGGATTGAACTCACAACCTAGTCATGTGCCCTGACCGGGAATCAAACCTGCAGCCTTTTTGGTGTATAGAATGATGTTCCAAACAACCGAGCCACCTGGCTGGGGCTCCAGTAATGCTCTTTATAGCAAAAAATTTTTCCCTGGTCCATGATCCATTCCAGTGTTACACATATTTAGTTGTTTTACCTCTTTAGTCTCCTTTAATCTGGAACAGTTCCTAGTCTTTTTTTGTCTTTCATAATGCAGTTTTGTTTGAGGTACACAGGCCAGTTATTTTGCAAAATATTCCTCACATTGATATTTCCTCATGATTAGGTACAAATTGTGCATTTTTGGTAGGAAGACTACATATGCGATGCATCCTTAGTACTAACAGTTTTCTTAATTTCTTAGCATTTCTCAATATTGATGTGTCATGCTCCCTTACAGACTGGCTCTATGACATTTTCAATTTCTTTTTATTACAAACCATGCTTCAATGAACATCTTTCTAGGTATCTCTTTATGCACACGTTTGTGTTCTCCAAGAGACTTTCAAGACCCCTCACATACTGCCAGCTCTACCTTTGTAAAATGCTAGATGGAAAAAATACATCTGTGCAAAGGAGTCACTGGCTTCTTGCAGTTACTTCGTGGTCCCCCAGATTGGGAGCCACTACCCTCAACCTTACACACTCCTCCTGTCCTCTGTCTCTTCCTTGTGCCTCAGGAGCCAGACAGCGATGATGAGTGGCAGCACCTGCTAGAGACCACCGAGCCTGTGCCCGTCCAGCTGAAGGCCCCACTCACCCTGTTGTGCAATCCGGACTTCTGCCAACGCATCCAGAGTCAGCTGCATGAGGCTGGAGGGCAGGTGATGGGCAGAAGGATACCATGGAGGGGATTAGAGACTATTTTCACAGATGAGACATTAAAAAACTTTGATTGGCTTACGGAGAAAGAGGAAATTTGTCCCTTTCCAATTCTTCAATTGATGTGCTTAATTCAAGGAGATTTGCTAATCTCCTTTAATAACAGAACGAGCAGTCCTCAGATTTCTCTTTCTGAAGGGAAAAGCATCCATCTTGAGCAGGGATCAGCAATCTTTCTGATGGTAAATATTTTAGGCATTGTGGGCCACGAGGCAAAAATGGAAGGCATTATGGAAGTACTCCTACAGTGAGAGACGACATGTCTACATAATCTTTGTTGAAAAATAAAAAATACAGTTATAACAACTAAGTATACAATATCTTCTAATATAGGTATGCTAACGAGAAGAATGAGATTCTTTTTTAGGGAGTAACATTTTGCCTAATTGGTATTCACAGTTAATGTTCCCTCATACACAGCCTTTCCTTGCTTCTCTGAAACAGTGATCTTCCTTCCTGGGAACTCGCCGAAATATGTTGCCTACGTCTATTTTGCTTCCTTTTCTTTAAAACCTTTTTATGATTTTTAGTAAATGTACCAAGATGTGAAACTATCACCACAACCCAGCTTTATGTTTATTTTTTTTATCCTCACTTGAGGATATGTTTATTAATTTTAGAGAGAGAGGGAGGAAGGGGGAGAGAGAGAAACATCAATGTGAGAGGAAGACATTGATCGGTTGCCTCCCATAGGCGCCCCGACCAGGGATTGAACCTTCAACCTTGGTATGTGCCTTGACTGGGAATTGAACCTGCAACCTTTTGGTGTGTGGATGACACTCTAACTGAGTCACTTGGCCAGGGCTTTTTTTTCTCACCATAATCCGGTTTTAGAACATTTTCATCCCCCCAATAAGATCCTCATACTCATTTGCAGTTAATCATCATTCCTACCCCCAGTCTCAGGCAACCATTAGTTTACTTTCTGTCTCATAGATTTGCCTTTTCTGGACAATTTATAGGAATGGAATCATATGGCATACAGTGTTTGTGTCTGGCTCCTTAGCAGAATGTTTTTGAGGTTCATTCATGCTGTAGCATATATCAATACTTCATTCTTTTTGTTGCTGATTAGTATTCCGTTATAGATATATATTATATTTTGTTTACCCATTTACCAGTTGATGGACATTGGGGTTGTTTACGGTTTTTGGCTTTTATGAATAATGCTGATATGAACAGTTTTGTGAAAATCTTTGTGCACATGCTTTCATTTCTCTTGGGTGGATACTGAAGAGTGGAATTGCTGGGTCATATGATAAATTTATGTTTAACATTTTAAGAAACTGCTGAACTATTTTCCAAAGTGACTACACCATTCTGCATTCCCACGGCAATGTGTGAGGGTCTCCATTTCTCCACATGTTTGCCGACATGTATTATTGTCTATCTTTTGATTATAGCCATTCTTGTGAGTATATCATTGTCATTTTAATTTGCATTTTGCTAATGACTAATGTCAAGCATCTTTTAGCTAATAAGCTAAAATGCTTATTAGCCATTTGTGAAATTTCAGTTCTTTTGCTCATTTTTAAATTGGGTTGTCTTCTTACTGATTTGTAAGAGTTCTTTGTATATTCTAGATACTAGACCTTTTTCACAAGTGACTTTCAAATATTGTCTCCAGTCTGTGCTTTATCTTTTAATCCTTATGAGTTTAAATTTGATTAAGACCAATCACCATGTTTTCCCTTTGTAGATTATGCTTTTGGTGTTGAGTCTAAGAAATATTTTCCAAACTCAAAGTCTTGAAGATTTTTCTTCTATATTTTTTCTAAAAGTTTTCTAGTTTTAAGCTCTGACATTTAGTTCTCTGACCCATTTTGAGTTAAATTTTGTACATGACTTGAGGTGTACAATGTGAGGGATCTAAATTCATCTTTTGCATGTGAGTATACAATTGTCCCAGTACCATTTATTGAAAAGACTCTCCTTTCTCCAGTGAATTACCTTGGCACCTTGTACCTCCCTTTTGACCCTTACTTGTTTTACTGGATAACATTTTAGTAGGGAAGCAAGTCAAAAACTCTGCCTCCAGGGTAAGACTTCCTAAGTTGGAATTTCATCTGAACTACTCTTTAGCTGTGTGATTATTGACTACTTACTTACCCTACCTAGAAGCTTCAGTCTCCTCAACTATAACTGTATTTGTGTTTACTTCAAATAGTTATTATAAAGGTTAAATGAGCAAATAAGTGAAAAGATTTAGAACAGTGAATACCATACTGTAAAGCACTTGATGAAAATGTTATTCTTCTTTCAAGAATAATCTTTAAAGAGTAACTATTTAAAAATATAATACTGCCCCAGATGGTGTGGCTCAGTAGGTTTGAGAGTTGTCCCATGCACCCAAGGGTCACGATTCCTGGTCTGGGCATATACCCAGATTACAGGTTTGATGGCTGGTCAGGGCGTGTTTTGGAAGGCAAATGATCAGTGTTTCTCTCTCTCTTCCTCTGTCTCTAAAAGTCAATAAAAACATATCCTTGGATGGTGAGATATATATATATATATAAACTATTACTGTTAGCTTACAGGTTGTATAAAAATAAGTGGGAGGCTGGATTTAGCCTGTGAGTTATAGTTTGTCAACCTCTGGTCTAGAGTTGAATAATATTGTTTTGTGACCATTGTTTTTAATTTTCAGAAGTATATGTGAGTGTGTGTGTGTATTTTGTTTTTAAGATTAAGGGCTGGAGAAGGGAAGAAGCAAATAGGAATGACATTGGGTCTGACACAGAGATCCTGAGGGACAGTCCCCTCTACCTTGGTCACTGCCATTAGAAGTCAGGTGACTTGACCAGCTATACTCCTCTTCCCTGGTACAATTTCCCTATTTCCGTCTTCTTCTCTGGGCTTTAGACTCCCAAAGAAAGGAATGAGAACATCTGGTCTGATTTGCCGACTCCTTGGAGACACTTGATATCTGGAACTCTTCTTTTACCTCTGATAATATTGATTACTTCTTTCCCTCATGTCACCCAGATCCTGAAAGGCATGCTGGATGGCGCTTCCCGTATCCTCCCTGCACTCCGGGTCCTAAGCAGTCTCCTGTCCAGCTGCAGTGACTCTGTTCCCTTGTATTCCTTCTGTCGTGAGACAGGGCTCCCTGGGCTGCTGCTCAGCCTATTCAGACACAGCCAGGAGAGCAACATTATTCAGCAGGTAAGCTCTATGCAAGGAGCCTCTAAGGACTTCCAGAAGTTTCTTCTTAGATTTCTCTTTTTCGCACTGCTGCCTCTATTTGGCCCAATTTCCTTTTATTTTTTTCCTCCTCTTTCTAGTTAGTAAACCATGAACTACAAACTCTAATGCCTTCTGAGACTAGGTAGATAATGTCAGTCAGTGAAGTTGACTATGTTGGGCTATGTGAGTAGTGGGGAGTAGATAAACTGGGGATCTTGTTCTCAGTCTAATGGTATAGCCTCTTCTCAGCGCCAGCCCACTGTTGCCACGTGGGAATATAGGCCCAGTGTTGCCAGATCTTCTAGTTTTCCAAGAGAAGCTAGAAATCCAGATTTTTATGTGTAATTTCCCAATATTTAGAACACTGTGCTTTGAAATGTTAAGTACTTTGCTTTATGGACACAATTTTACAGAGCAGGGTACTGAAATTCAGAGACTAACTGACTAACACACAGGCTCTAACTTGCAAATGGTCATGGAGACAATAGTGGAAGAGCTAGGATTGAGACTCAGTGTGTTTGAGGACAAACCTCTACTTCCCTGTTCTGTGTCCTGCCTCAGCTTAGCTGAGAGAACAGAATAAAGAGATGTTTAGTGGGACCTGGGCTCGGGAAGCTAGAAAGCTGTACTCAGCTGATGAATATTAATCTTGAGTGTTTTAAAGAAATTTAGAAAGGAATTGAGCTATTTTGAAAAACAGAACCTCCTAAACTCCAAAATGCTGTTCAGGCCAAACCAGACGTATTTTCAGACTGTTTACAGCCCATTGGCTGCCACTGGTTTATTCTAGATTTCTCTCTGTCCAAACCATTTTCCCCCTGTCTCTTTTTGTTTGGTCAACCTGACGATATCTGATGCCTTTTTTTACCACATTTTCTCTCTCTGTTTCCATTCCCTATATTGCCCTTACTCTCTGTCTTCTTCCCTGGCAGCAATGTTGGTATGGGACCTTCTTACGGGACCTGATGGCCGTGATTCAGGCCTACTTTGCCTGCACCTTCAATCTGGAGAGGAGCCAGACAGGTGACAGGTGGGATGAGACACAGCTTTGCTCTGTTGGCCAGTTTGGCTCTAGTTTCTATCCCCATTATTCCCTTCTCCTTTCGGAAGGGGCTAAGTGAGGAGGAGCCATGATTTGTGACAGGTTTAGGGATCAGCTGACTGACCCCTCAGAGTCCAGCTGGTCCTCTTAAGGACCCTGAGATACCTCCAAGTTTGCCCCACGACTTTTGGGTTTTAAGGGTCAGCAGTCCCCATACACTAAATGAAAGGATCAGTATGTGAATAACCTAGAGAAATGGCAAAGAGAAGGGACTTGGAGGGTGTACATATGAGGCTGTGTGTGTGCTTAGCAGGGGAGAGAGAAGGGAGTATTGTGATGTGTGTCCCTTTGCTGAGCTCCTACTTGCCCAGAACTGACTCCTTCACCATATCTGGGCTTTTAGTAGAAAGATGAGGAGAAACTGTGGGCTCATTTTTTTTCCCAGTCTACAAGTATTTCAGGAAGCTGCCAACCTTTTTCTGGACCTGTTGGGGAAACTATTGTCCCAACCAGATGACTTCAAGCAGACTTTGCAGAGGGATAGCCTTATGGTAATCTGTTCCCATTTCCGCATTTCTGTCTCTCCTGTCTTCCCGTTTCTCCCATCCCCTTTCTTATGACTAGATAGGGTTAGATCAAGGCAATCCCTCAAATATTAGTTGAATGCCAACTATGTTCCATATACAATTTGAGTAAAAGAAAGTTCCTATCTTCAAGGGACCAGGAATAGTCTAGTAGGGGAGATGTAAAGTGATCAAGGACAGTAGTGTGAAAAGTACATTAGAACTTTGTATAAAATACAGAAGCACCACTGAAGAAGATGAACAGTACTTGGAGGGTCATAGAAGAAATCTTGAAGAAGGAAATCATCTCTGCTGAGATTTGGAGAATACACAGAAGTTTGCCAGGTAGATGAGGCAGGAAAGTGGAGAGGATATTCCAGGCAGAAAGAGCAATGTACATAAAGGCCCAGAGGCATTAAGCAGTGTGGCCTATTTCAGGGAACCACAAATAGAAGTATTTGCTCTTGAAGAGATTTGCAGATCAGCTAGTATTTCCCAACTTTACTTGGCCTATGGACTAGTAAACTGTATGGATATGGGTTCTCTCCCCTGGACTCTGGAGGTGAGGGATGGGAATGGAGGATTGAACGAGAAAATCTCAGAGGAGAAAATTGGAGAGGAACATGTGAAGGAAGTAAACAATTGCCTGGTCATTGTTCAAACTGGCAACTGGGAACACAGATCTGGGCTACATTCCTGCCTATAGCTAGCAGTCCATTCAGTTTCTGGTAGTCTGAGAGCCAATTTTTACATCCTTCACCCTTCAAGTCAGGAAGCTTTTGATATCCAACATAAATTTTGGCCAGCTGTGACTCACATGATTGGCCAGCACTTCTCATGTGTCATTGTGCAGTGAGTAGCATGGGGAGTTTGGAATAGATACCCTGCCTCTTGAAATTCTGAATGAGAGGTCTGAGTTGGGAGGGACCCAGGAATCCCCAATAGTTCTTATACTCATGGTCACAGATGACACTTTGAGAAACATCATCTAGGGAGCAGCTGATCAGAGTAAAGCACCGACATCTAAAATTCCTGTCCTTGAAATGCAAAGGCAGTTATAATGCATCTTCTGTATGAGGAATACTTAAATTAGATAGCTAGTGCCCTGGGTTTTCCTTCTGCTTTCTCAGGTTCTCTGGGGATTCTTGCTCTTTACCCTAAGCCTAGTCAGTTTTCTGATGTCCTAATATTAACCCTGCCCTTGTCTCCCTTAGTGCTTCACTGTTCTGTGTGAAGCCATGGATGGGAACAGCTGCACCATCTCCAAAGCCTTTTACTCCAGTCTGCTGACTACGCAGCGAGCTGTGTTGGACAGGCTCCTTCATGGCTTGACAGTTCCACAGCTCCCTTTCCACCACCCCCCAGGTAACCAGAGTGGGGAGGGAAGTTTCTGGACTTACTTGTTGAGTATGTCCAACTCTTCTCTTTCTACTGCCATCACCTAGACACAATGCCTGGCATTTGGTGAGTGCCCAGTAAGTAACTGTGAACTGAAAGAATGAAGGGGGATCTGAGAGAAACAACTATACCCTACCCTGCATTCTTTGCTGTTCTCCATAGGTGCCCCTCAAGTGAGCCAGCCACTGCAGGAGCACAGTGAGGATCTGCTTGGAGCCATTTCCTCTGCGCTGGCAGCCATATGCATTGCTCCTCTAGGGCTGCCTGGCTGCTGGGAAGCCAAGGAACAGGTTTGAGCTGCAGTTTCTTGTTCCTTTCACTTCTGTTGCCAGAGTTGGGGAGTCTGCCCCAGCTTCTCAGAAAGGCAGAAAAAGAAGCTTTCATGCCTCCTTTACTCTGTAATTCCAGAAACAGATGACCCCACCCTGAGTCTGGTCCACTTATAGAACATGATGTAGCCAAAATCCCAGAGGCCTTGGTTAGAGAGCTCAGTGACAAACTGACAAACTGTAGGGTAGCTGATCTGAAGCTACCAGTGATGCTTCCTCAGGGGCTCAGGATTCAGATTTCCTGCTCCCTTTTGGCTAGCAAGTTTTCTCTGTACCTGACTACACTGGGGCTAAGCAAGACCCTGACTTTTGTTCTTCCTTTGCCATGAAGACTGGGAATGGAATGGGGCCTGAGGTTCCTGGGGAAGCTGGGGAAGAGTCCTGATTAGTTGGAGATATGAGAGGAATCGGATTGGAATAATGAGAATGGGATTGAGTCTTCAGGAATGTCCCTATAGATCTCTCGACATTTGGCAAATCAGCTCTCTGAAGACAACAACCAACTGAGGCCATCCCTCATCTGTGGTCTGCAGCATCCCATCCTCTGCCTACACCTTCTTAAGGTATTACCTGCCTATAACTCTTGCACTTCAGATCTCTTTTTTTACCCCCAGGACTGAGAGAGAGAGCCTGAGATGAGAGACCCCCTCGCAGGACCCCTTTCTGCTTTTAAATCTTTTCAACTCAGATGGCCCCACTGTTAGCCAGTCCTCACCAGAACTGAGAAGTATCCCTATCTCACTATCTTACAGCAAGAGGTGGAAGTGGCCCAAACTTCTCTAACACCCCCAAGTGTGGATACCAGATGTGTTGAGAGACTAGCCTGATTTCAGCTGAGCCTTCTAGCTTAGGAGCCCAGGTGCTGCTCTGCTCACTGACAGACTCCTCCCCACTCCCTTAGGTTCTCTATTCCTGCTGCCACGTTAGTGAACACCTGTGCCATCGTCTAGGGCAAGAGCCCCTAGCCTTGGAGTCACTGTTGATGTTGGTCCAGGGCAAGGTAGGCCAGCAACACAGATGAGCATCTCACGGTGGCCCCACCATCTCAATCAGAGGTTGCCCTGATATCTTAACTTTGTAGGTAAAGGTAGTGGATTGGGAAGAGTCTACTGAAGTGACACTCTACCTCCTCTCCCTTCTTGTCCTTCGGCTCCAAGATCTGCCTCCTGGGTGAGTCATAAAGTAGGGTCTCTTCACTGAAATCTACCCACAGAGCTTACCCTGACATAGAACAGCCTATCCTTAGGAGGGATTGGGATAGAGAGAGTGAAGGTTTTTCTACAAAGAACAGACCTGGATTCCCACCAGCTTTGTGACTTGCGGTTGGACTGCAGCCTAGGTGGAGAGTGCCATCTAAGGGAGAGGGAAGGCCACTCACCAGCCTCCTTTCACACTGCTGCATCCCTTGATATATCTCCTTATTCCAGAATGGAGAAGCTAGGCAGTGAGATTGCTACTCTCTTTACCCATTCACATGTCGTCTCTCTTGTGGTGAGTTTTCAACCTTTATCTTCCTCCCCTTTTAACCTTATCATCCAACCTTTTGGGAGCAGGGGAATCATTATCCCCTTTGCAGCTGTTTACGCGGTATTTGTCTAGTCTAGGACAGAGGCCTGTATCCTTTCTGCTCATGCTGAATACCACTTCTCCTCTAACTCTCCAGAGTGCAGCAGCCTGTCTCCTGGTACAGCTTGACCAGCAAGGGGTGACCTTTGACCTCCAGCCTGTGGAGTGGATCCCTGCAGCCACACATGCTCTGTCTGCCCCTGCTGAGGTGAGATCGGCCAGAGAAGGCATAGACACATTTCTTGGAGTCAAACAAGGACTGAATTCAGGAAGAAAAGACTGAAGTGCCAGCCAGCCTAGAGTAAACTAAGAAGTGGTCAAGGAATCAAGGAATCTTTCCTGCCCTCCTGTTCCCCGATAATTGACCCCTCTGAGCCGAGACTGGTCAGGGCTTTAGATCTGTTGTTAACACCCTGGACTTCTAAAGAGGGAGGGAGGCATCATTTCTTCCTTGGACTATTTATTTTTTAATCCTCACCTGAGGATATTTTTTCCATTGCTTTTTTAGAGAGAATGGGAGGAGGAGAGAGAGAGAAACATTGATGTGAGAGAGACACATTGATTGGTTGCCTCCCGCATGCGCCCTGACCACAGTGGAGCCTGCAACTGAGGTACGTGCCATTGGCCAGAATCGATCCCAGGACCCTTCAGTTCATGGGCTGATGCTCTAACCACTGAGAAAACCGGCTAGGGCCCTCCCTTTGACTTTGACACTTGCCCACTAAAGGATCTCTCTTCTAGGCTCTCTTTTCCAGTCTGTTTTCTTCACTGCCACCAGAGTGAGCTTTCAATAAAGGAAAACCTGGTCATTTGTTTGACCAGTAATTACTTAACACACAAATACTTACTGAATACCAGACACTATTCTAGGCTCTGAGAAGACAGCAATGAGTAAGAGACAAAAGTCTTGCCCATATGGAGCTTGTGTAAGTCCTCAGTGGCTTCCCACTGCTTCTGGGATAAAGTCCAAATTCTTTAGTGGGCTATTGAAAGCTCATCTGTTACCTCTAAGCTCTATAATGCTGCTAGACCAGAAGAGTTGCCATTTCAAAATTCACTATGCTCTTTCATGACCTGCCTTTAGATATGCTATGACTTCCACTTGGAATGTTCTCCCTTTCTACCTCTACTTCCTCTTGTCTGCCTTTTAAACATTTAATCCATCAGTTTCCTACCTCTAGGAGGCAGAGTTAGGCACTCTTAATTGTGAACTCCCACCCTGACCCCACCCTCTTGTTTAGAAAGTATCTTCCTAAACTATAATTGTTTCTGTGTCAGCTTGCTCTACCAGACTGTGTGTCTTTAGGACAGAGTTAGTCATTGATTGAATAGGTAGGAACCAAGACTCCTAAGTTCTGAAGGACTCTCCCCATAAACCAGGCCGAGGAAGGGCTCTTTCTACCTGACCAGGAGTTGGGTGCACAGGCCTGTGAGGCCACCTCGTCCCTCTCAGAGATCCGCATTCTTCCTGTCTCTCTCCTGCAGGTCCGATTGACTCCACCAGATGGCTGTGGATTCTACGACGGCCTACTCGTCCTTCTGCTGCAGCTCCTCACCCAGGTACAGCTGCATCTTAGGGTGGATGGGAAGTACGGAGAGANCAGTGGAGCCTGCAACTGAGGTACGTGCCATTGGCCAGAATCGATCCCAGGACCCTTCAGTTCATGGGCTGATGCTCTAACCACTGAGAAAACCGGCTAGGGCCCTCCCTTTGACTTTGACACTTGCCCACTAAAGGATCTCTCTTCTAGGCTCTCTTTTCCAGTCTGTTTTCTTCACTGCCACCAGAGTGAGCTTTCAATAAAGGAAAACCTGGTCATTTGTTTGACCAGTAATTACTTAACACACAAATACTTACTGAATACCAGACACTATTCTAGGCTCTGAGAAGACAGCAATGAGTAAGAGACAAAAGTCTTGCCCATATGGAGCTTGTGTAAGTCCTCAGTGGCTTCCCACTGCTTCTGGGATAAAGTCCAAATTCTTTAGTGGGCTATTGAAAGCTCATCTGTTACCTCTAAGCTCTATAATGCTGCTAGACCAGAAGAGTTGCCATTTCAAAATTCACTATGCTCTTTCATGACCTGCCTTTAGATATGCTATGACTTCCACTTGGAATGTTCTCCCTTTCTACCTCTACTTCCTCTTGTCTGCCTTTTAAACATTTAATCCATCAGTTTCCTACCTCTAGGAGGCAGAGTTAGGCACTCTTAATTGTGAACTCCCACCCTGACCCCACCCTCTTGTTTAGAAAGTATCTTCCTAAACTATAATTGTTTCTGTGTCAGCTTGCTCTACCAGACTGTGTGTCTTTAGGACAGAGTTAGTCATTGATTGAATAGGTAGGAACCAAGACTCCTAAGTTCTGAAGGACTCTCCCCATAAACCAGGCCGAGGAAGGGCTCTTTCTACCTGACCAGGAGTTGGGTGCACAGGCCTGTGAGGCCACCTCGTCCCTCTCAGAGATCCGCATTCTTCCTGTCTCTCTCCTGCAGGTCCGATTGACTCCACCAGATGGCTGTGGATTCTACGACGGCCTACTCGTCCTTCTGCTGCAGCTCCTCACCCAGGTACAGCTGCATCTTAGGGTGGATGGGAAGTACGGAGAGAGAAATTGTGCATTTTAGGGAGCCGCTGGGCATTAGGAATGAAGAAGAAATCCACAAACTACTGTTCTTGTGATGACTTTAGAAGGGACCCACTTGCCTTCAGTATGGACCCTTTAAATGGAACCATTCAGATGCATCCTTTAGGATTCAGTGGGGAGAAAAGTGTAATTCCCTGGTTTCCAGCAGACATACACATGGATTGAGAGGTTGGGGATTAAGATGTGGTAAGAAAGGGAACTAAGATAACAGGGAAATACCAGCTGGGAAAACAAAAGAGATTATTTCTGGGACTCCTTTTCCTCGTAGGTCAGGGACAGGAGTGGAAAAAAGGCATTTTGACTCCTGACTTTCATCTCCCCACCCACCCTCTTTCAATTTTGTCTTCAGCAGGGGAAGGCTAGCCTGATAAGGGACATGGTTAGCTCAGAAATATGGACCATTCTGTGGCACCGCTTCTCCATGGCTCTGAGGCTCCCTGAGGAGGTATCTACACAGGAAGAGGAGCTATCGCTGTCCAGTCAACATAGCTCAAGCTCAGAGCCAGACTGGACACTGATTTCACCCCGAGGTAGCTTTTCATCTGCATGGCCTCTTTTATGGAGGCATTGTATTGATCCCTCTTCAAGAGGAGCAGCCTGGGTTAGCCATGGAAAGTTCTGCTGCTGCTGCTGCTGCCTGGGGAGAGGATGTTAGATTGTATCCTGAAATTGCTCAGGGTTGGGGAAGGGACTGAATAAGTGGGAGCCCTGGGAGCCATGGGGAAGCAGGAGCATCTGGGCTTTTTGTCTGCTCTACTGGGTCTTCATTCTTGGTGTTTCCAGGTGTGGCAGCCATGCTGAGCCTGGCCGTGGCCACCTTCAACCAGGAGCCTGAGTTATGCCTGAGTCACCTGTCTCAGCGTGGAAGTATCCTCATGTCCACCTTGAAGCATCTGCTTTCCCCCAGCTTCCTGCAGCAGCTGGGCCAGGCGTGAGTTTTGAACTAGAGGAGGGAGACCAGAAGATCCAGAGAGTACAGTGGGGGGGGAGGGGGGAAGGAAGGAGAGAAGTAGCTGAGCACTTGAGCTATGAGGCAAGAAATGGTATGCTGAGATTGTGGAAGGAGAGCTGGACTAGGGAATTTGAGAAGAGGGGGAAGTAAAAGGTGGGTGAGCAAGGCCAAGTAAATCCTTCCACACTCCCCTTATTAGGCCTCACGGGTCTGAGTTTCTCCCCTTCGTGGTGCTCTCTGTCTGCCAGCTCCTCTGCTTCCCCTTTGCCGTGGATGTGGATGCTGACCTCCTTGTGGGTATCTTGGCTGACCTCATGGACTCAGAGGTCACAGCCCACCTGCTGCAGGTACTTTGGAGGCATGAAGGTGGGAGAGGCCAAACACCTTGTATACTCTAATTCACTTCTGACAGCTCCAGGGCTCTCCTTGGCCCCTGTAAGAGTGGAGCATCTGGTTTGATCTAAGAGTTGGAGTGGAGAAAGCATTCAGGCCTAACAGAGGTGTGTGGTTGGAGCTGGGGCTAGTAACTCTATCAGTTCCTTATCTGAATTCTGTTAGAGCTCAATGGGGAGAACATCCAGTCTAGGAGTTGTATACTCAGCTCCTCAGCCAGGAATCTCTTCTCTGGTGGTTCTTGGCATTAGACAGTGGGTCTTTGACAAGCAGAGCAAGGATTGAACTTGGGAAGAACCCATTCTCTTGGGGTTCACATTGTGTCTCCTGTGGAGTGCTATGGGTCAGCTCTCTCAGCATTCTGGTGTTTCTCATTATAGCTTGGCTTTTCTCCCAGGGTTTGGGCTCCTTCTAGCTATCAAGCTGCAGTGTACTCTCCTGCTCCCTGAACTACTTTTGCTGCTCCCCTCCCCCCTTTCTCCTAGGTCTGCTGCCACCACCTCATGTTGCCACAAGTCGAGCTGCCCATCAGTCTCCTCACACACCTGGCCCTCACGGATCCCACCTCTCTCAACCAGTTTGTGAACACAGTGGCTGCCTTCCCTAGAACCATCATCTCGTTCCTCTCAGTTGCCCTTCTAGGTGACCAGCCGCTGCTGATCTCTGACCTTCTGTCTCTGTTGGCCCACACAGCCCGGGTTCTGTCTCCCAGTCACTTGTACTTTATCCAAGAACTCCTGGCTGGCTCCGATGAATCCTATCGGCCCCTGCGCATCCTTCTGGGTCACCCAGAGAATTCAGTGCGGGCCCGCACTTATGGGCTCCTGGGACACTTGCTCCAGCACAGCATGGCCCTGCGTGGGGCACTGCAGAGCCAGGCTGGACTGCTCAACCTTCTGCTGCAGGGCCTTGGAGACAGGGACCCTGCTGTGCGGCGCGGTGCCAGCTTTGCTGTGGGCAATGCAGCCTACCAAGCTGGTCCCCTGGGACCCGCCCTAGCAGCTGCAGTGCCCTTTATGACCCAGCTGCTTGGAGATCCTCAGGCTGGTATCCGGCGCAATGCTGTGTCAGCTCTGGGCAACTTGGGACCTGAAGGATTGGGGGAAGAGCTATTACAGTGTCAAGTACCCCAGCGGCTCCTAGAGATGGCATGTGGAGACCCTCAGCCAAATGTGAAGGAGGCTGCCCTCATTGCCCTTCGGAGCCTCCGCCAGGAGCCCTGTATCCATCAGGTATACTCCAGGGGACTTAGGAACCACAACAATGGGGTTGTATTTCACAACAGTTTTCTGGGATAGTTTTAAGAAATTGGGACATTCAGAAATCCAAGTTTATCCCTCTCTGGGAGAGGAAACCCAGGGGCAGTGTCTTGGAGATGAGTTTTCCATCTACCATTTCTCACCCCAGAGAAGAGAAGGGACCTAGAAGAGGGCTCCATTGGGCTGGGAAATGGCTGGGATCTCAAGGACCACTGTTCTCTCTTCTGGAGGCTATATGAGAGAGGGAGGTGAGGGAAGATTAGAGCTGTTGAGATATAGGGTGGTTTCATTCTGGGGTCCGTAAAGATACTATCTCTCTTAGCACTTCATGTTAAAAGCACCGTGCTAAGCATTTTACCTTTATTATCTGGTTTAAGCTATTTTATTCCTCATCTTGCAGGCTATGTAACTGAGGCACAAAGAATTTAATAGCTTGTCCAAATTACAAAGCTAGTATGTAGGATTGGATTTTTGAAGTCAAGAGTCTGAGTCCAGAGCCTTTACTCTTAACCACTACTTTATTCTGTCTTTTCTCCTTAATTTTCAGTGTATAAGCAGCCCAGTGAACTCACATATCTACCTATGATAAGGCTAAACCCCCAAATTATAATAGTTAAGTATGGTAGCATTAGGTGGTAGCATTAGGTGGCATATAAATTTGACAGGATGGTTGATGACATATATTATAGGATTTTCTGGCAATCCATGTGGGCACATACTAAAAAGGATTCTTGGTGGTAATGAGGTTAAGACCCACTGGGCCGATCTACAGCTGGGAATCATTGGTTTACTATCACTGCTGCATTCATTACCTCTTCCCGGGGACAAGTGTATGGATCCCTTGGTGCCTTGGTTTCATGGTCTGCAACCAAAGAGAATGGAAGTAGACCTCTGATCCTGATGATTCCTGTCTCCAAGGTTTCTCTTTTCCCACACAATCTATTTTGAGTCCCCAAGAGCCCACTTTATTTTTCTTCCTTTTCTGGAGTAGAAATTGCTAGTGCAAATGAGTCCTCTGCATGTCATGTTCTGTCGTCTGCTCTCTATCCCACAGGTGCTGGTGTCCCTGGGTGCCAGTGAGAAATTAGCCTTGCTGTCTCTGGGGAATCAGTTACTGCCGCACAGCAGTCCCAGGCCTGCATCTGCCAAACACTGCAGGAAACTCATTCACCTCCTCAGGCCAACCCACAGCACGTGATCCCAGATTCCTGGGTCCAGCTTCCAACCTTCATTGACCTACTATTGCCAACTCTTCCTTTTTGTACTATACAAGCCGCCAACTCAACTGAGAACTAGAAAGATTTTAAAAGAGAAATAAGCTGCCAACTCAACTGATTTGAGAATGAAAAACTAGAAGAGATTTATGTATAAAGCCTCCCCTCCCCCAAATTCAGGATGATTTTAACCAGTAAACTTTGTTGCTGTTGGTGCCAGAGAAGATTCCTTCCTTCCCTACATCAGGGGTATTTTCTCCAATACTGTGCCTTTAACCCCAGGAATATGCTTCTTGAACCTTAGGGAAACACCTTCTGCCTGAGAGATCTCTTCCTCTCTGGAGCTCCTGTAATCCTCCCAACAGGTTCTGGGTTAGGTGCACTGGCCCAAGGACAATGATGAAGACAGAACCTGTGTCAGCTCTAGGCTCTAGGGATAAATGCCATCAGTCCCTGTTGTGGAGGGTTCCCTAGCCCGTAGCCCACATTCCCATCCATGGGAGGGGATGGGGAGTGATCTTTTTTTGTTTTGTAATCTGTTTGTAAACTCTTGTAATAACTCTTGTAATAAAAGGTGTGCCTCACCCTATTTGGAGCTGCCAGAGTAAGGGGTTGGGATGTTCAGCTCCTCTTTAGCTTCTGTGTGGTGCTGGAAGCTCTGGTGCCCTGATCAGACAAGATCTTGTTTTGGGAGCTTCCTTCATCTCAGATGAGCTACATGTGGACACCTACTTACTTCCAAGCCCAGACCAGTGCAGCTGAAATAGGAAAATTAGGATTGGAGAGGTAAATTGGATTGCTTTGAAATCTCAGGCTTAGTGGCTAGTTTTAGTATTTGGTGAAGTTTTAGGGTATAGGGAAGCCCAGTTGCTTTAGTAAGGTAGCTGTATGGAGGGTGTGCACTTTACCAGAAAGGGGTGTTTGGCAGACTCACTAGTTAGAATTGTAAGTCAGCTGGAAACGTACTGGAAAGCTTAAACCTTGACTTATTGGATAGCTTGTAACAAGCTTCCCAGGGCCCTCATTTCTCCATAAAATGGGAGAGTACTTTTGTCCTTCCTTGAATTCCAATTGTTTTAGAAGTGAAAGATGTTCCCTTATTTTTACAAGGAATTTTATTTAGTCTTCATCTTCATTGCCCACTCATATGTGCATATTTTAGCAAAAGTAACATTTTTCCATAATTTCCTCCTATTCAGGTTATTTCAGTCAATTCAGCATATATTTACTGAGTCATTTCCAGAGACTGTTCTAATTACTGGAGATAAGCAGTGCCTGTCTGTCACAGACTTTCCATTCTGGTGGGGCAGACCGTGAACTTATCAAAATGAGTGAATTATATATAATATGTAGGAAAGTAATAAAAACTCTGGAGAAAAATAAAGCAAGAAAAAGGGATGAGGAAATGGTCAGAGTAGGCCTCACTGAGAAGGTGACACTTCAGCAAAGACTTGAAGGAGATGAGGGAATGAGCAGTGCAGCTATCTGAGGGAAAAGCATAGACAGAATGATCATCCCAAAGGCCCTGAGATGGGAGCATACCTGGCCTGCTTGTGGAGCTATGAGGAGGCCAGTTTCGATGCAAGAGTTCAGTGGCTTTTAGTGAATTTGTACATTTGTGCAACCATCACCACCATCTAGTTTAAGAATACTCATCACCCCCAAAATTTCCTCTTCCCCATTTATAGTCATTCTTTGTCCCTACCTTTAGTCCTAAGCAACCACTGATCTACTGTTTTAATCTTCACCAGAGGATATGTTTAGAGAAAGGAAGGGAAAGAGAGAAAGAGAAACATCAATGTGAGAGAGAAACATCGATTGGCTGCCTCCTGTACACACCCTGACTGGGGGTCGAACTCAAATTCTAGGTATGTGCCCTGATCCCGAAATCGAACCCACAAGCTTTTGGTTTACAGGATGACACTCCAACCAACTGAGCCGCCAGGGCTCTTGTGGTGGTCTTTGTTTCTCTTTATTTCCTATAACCTGGAAGTTGGAGCCAAAAGCTAGATTAGATTCAAATTAAACTTAATTTTTGACAGAAATACACTACCTAAATATTACTGTGTAGTTCAAATTGCATCGCATCGGGGGACATAATTTATAGCTATCCCACCTTTCCGGATCTAAAATTGATTAAAATATGCAGGTGATGGTAGATGTCTCGTGTAAAATTACACCCTCTAATAATTTTAACATCCATGAGTGATTGTTTCCTAAATCAATTATTTATTAAGCATTCTAGCTCTGGTCCAAATTGTTTTCATTAGGTTAATCTTTTATTGTCCCCCGCCCCCTTTTTTTTTCTGTAGCCGGCTGTTTAGAAAAGATTTTTTTACCCTCCAGCTCTTTTTAGGCCTCCAAATCCATTAGGCCTAGGGACATTTGAGATTGAGGGGGCACGATCTCTTGAGGGGGGGCTCTTGCTTGAGATAGTTAAGGTAGTTTTTCCTAAAGTTCACACTTGAAGCCCATAAAGCAGGTGGCTGTAGTTGCGCTTCGTTGGTTGGGGTTACGGGAAGTTTGGTTGGAGGGAAATCCAGTGGATCTGGCAATCTCTCCGTTCCTGGGGTCAAACTCAAAGTCTTTTACTTGAAAGAACTAAGAAAATTCTTTAATAAAGCCCGAGATCTTTGATTTTAGGAGAGTGAATCAAGGCACGGCGGAAGAAAGAGTCAGTACGGTTCAGGTAGAATCAGGGTAGGGAGAACCCTGGAGGGAGCCTGTCAGGGGTTTAATCGCGGGACTACACTTCCCAGAAT